CTTCCACGCCCCCTCTGTGATGGCCTCCGTCGGCTTGTTGTGGGGGTGGGGGCTGTTGATGGCCCAGGCTGCTCGTCGTCGTCGTCGTCACTATACAAAACAGGTAAACGGATTCAAGATTATTCAAAGTTCAAGATGTTCATTGGCATTTGCACTACAGTGAAGTAGAATAGAATACTATAGTAAGATAAACGAAAGCAATAAAACAAATTCATTTTAGAAAAATGTTTGTCTTCTTACCTCACGTTTTCAGCAACAAAATCAGGGTCCTCGAAGTCATCCTGGCCACTCTCATTGTCTGACGACGAACTTTCCAAAGTTTCTTCATCGCTCATTTGGAATAACAAGTCGACGGCTTGTTCAACGTGAAGTGTGCGCCTCATATTGCTTCACAAAAACGATACTGCTGACAATAAAACTCTTGAAATACTAACAATTGAAATACTAACTCGTGAAAAACTCTCCAAAACTACTCATGAACTGAACTAATTCCTCTCGTTCGTTCTTTCGCAATGGCTAGTTGTCATGGGAATGAATGTTTATATACTCGTGTGCATCCTGAAGAACCGGGTTAGCACAAGCACACGTTTTTTTTCCGTTCCTTTTTATCACAAAAGACGACAAAGTTATTATAATAAATGCAAAGCGCTCATAAAAGAGCGCATATTTTGACGCACTTTTTTCATGGAATTGAAATTATCATAACTTTGGTTTTAGTTGGTGTATTTACATGAAACAAACACTCAAAACGTAGCTTCGGGTCTCCATTTCTGCATGAAATCGACGGCAGCCCTCTGCGTCACTTGGTTTGGATGCTGCGCGGTCCTAAAGCCGGCCCGCGATTTGAACGCGCCGAAGCGTTCGCCGACTCGGAAGAGTTAAGCAGGGGGACACGTCTGGCACTGCAGGATTTGAGTCCCTGGCGGCGTAGTGTGTTACTGATGGTAGGCTTTGTTACTTTGGTCCCAGCTCTCTGCAGGTCATTCACTAGGTCCCCCCGTGTGGTTCTGGGATTTTTGCTCACCGTTCTTGTGATCATTTTGACCCCACAGGGTGAGATCTTGCGTGGAGCCCCAGATTGAGGGAGATTATCAGTGGTCTTTTATGTCTTCCATTTCCTAATAATTGCTCCCACAGTTGATTTCTTCAAACCAAGCTGCTTACCTATTGCAGATTCAGTCTTCCCAGCCTGGTGCAGGTCTACAATTTTGTTTCTGGTGTCCTTTGACAGCTCTTTGGTCTTGGCCATAGTGGAGTTTGGAGTGTGACTGTGTGAGGTTGTGGACAGGTGTCTTTTATACTGATAACAAGTTCAAACAGGTGCCATTAATACAGGTAACGAGTGGAGGACAGAGGAGCCTCTTAAAGAAGAAGTTACAGGTCTGTTAGAGCCAGAAATCTTGCTTGTTTGTAGGTGACCAAATACTTATTTTCCACCATAATTTGCAAATAAATTCATTAAAAATCCTACAATGTGATTTTCTGGAGAAAAAAAATCTCATTTTGTCTGTCATAGTTGACGTGTACCTATGATGAAAATTACAGGCCTCTCTCATCTTTTTAAGTGGGAGAACTTGCACAATTGGTGGCTGACTAAATACTTTTTTTCACCACTGTATATATACCACATACTGTACATACAACTGGCATTTTAAAGAACCCCTTGACCTCAGTCTTATAGCAACTAAACTCACCTGAATACCAAAGACCCACAACCATCTTTCCCCTCTCCCTCCTCCTCTTATCCCTCCTCCTTCTCCTCCTCCTCCTCCTCTTATCCATCCTCCTTCCCCTCTTTCTCCTCCTCTTATCCCTCCTCTTTCCCCTCTCCCTCCTCCTCTTATCCCACCTCTTTCCCCTCTCCCTCCTCCTCTTATCCCACCTCTTTCCCCTCTCCCTCCTCCTCTTATCCCTCCTCCTTCCCCTCTCCCTCCTCCTCTTATCCCACCTCTTTCCCCTCTCCCTCCTCCTCTTATCCCACCTCTTTCCCCTCTCCCTCCTCCTCTTATCCCTCCTCCTTCCCTCTCCCTCCTCCCTTATTCCCTCCTCCTCTTATCCCTCCTCCTTCCCCTTTCCCTCCTCCTCTTATCCCTCCTCCTCCCCTTTCCCTCCTCCTCTTATCCCTCCTTCCTTCCCCTTTCCCTCTCTTATCCCACCTCTTTCCCCTCTCCCTCCTCCTCTTCTTATCCCACTCTTTCCCCCTCTCCCTCCTCCTCTTATCCCCACCTCTTTCCCCTCCTCCCTCCTCCTCTATCCCTCCTCCTTCCCCTCTCCCTCCTCTCTATATCCCTCCTCCTTCCCCCTCTCCCTCCTCCTCTTATCCCTCCTCCTTCCCCTTTCCCTCCTCCTCTTATCCCTCCTCCTTCCCCTTTCCCTCCTCCTCTTATATCTCCTCCTTCCCCTCTCCCTCCTCCTCTTATCCCTCCTCCTTCCCCTCTCCCTCCTCCTCTTATCACTCCTCCTTCCCCTCTCCCTCCTCCTCTTATTCCTCCTCCTTCCCCTCTCCCTCCTCCTCTTATCCCTCCTCCTTCCCCTCTCCCTCCTCTGCCCTCCTCCACTCCCTCCTCCACCCCGCCTACTTGCTGGGGGATCTACCAGAAAGAAGAGGAACATACTTTGATTGTCATCAGTGCAATTTTTTTAATGGTTGATGGTCAGTGGTGCATACAAAAGTGAAAAATGTATTATTGATTGCACATTTGAATTCGTATTTATATTGTAAAGAACTTGTTGCAGATGGTTTTAAACCTTCAAATAACTAGAATGTACATGAAATGTAATATAAATATATATGGTATTGTGTGCATTTTTTTTCATTTGATTGGTTGGTGTGGAGGTGTAGGCTTTACAAACAAATACCCGTAAGTACCCATAAAATCAATACTCATCATATGCTATTTGTCAACAATTGTTAATATAGACTGTTATGTTAAATGCACACCTCTAGATGGAGACATTGCTTTTTGTAATATATTTAGCAGAAACAGTTCAATATATCTATGCAAGGTGTCACACATGGCATGCTTGGATTGGTTTATCAAGTTTGTTTATGCTCTCTGTCATCTATGGCCGTAATTTTCAGAGATCCAGGGCATAGTCTCAGTTCAATATTAATCAGACGTCAATATTAAGGACACTTGACAGAAGTCTGTACTAAAGTGGGATTATTATTAGAAATAAGACACATGACAAATGAGACAGTTCCCCGAATGAACGAGATCAACTTGCTTTATCTCAACACCACATCATCAGACAAGGAACCAATAGGTGTACGTTCAACATGATTACATGTTTAAACAATTTAAAACGAGAGAAGAGTTCAGAGGAAGACTCAAGACTGTCATTATAACTCTCTACGATAGTAAAGATATTGACTGTGCTGCTTGATGGCAACCCAACAAGGCATCATATTCATACATGTCATTAGAAAAGGCGAAAATAAACAAATAGGAAATGTAGGCACTCATGGTATTTCTGTCCCTGTAGGCATTAATGTGCACAAAAAAAAGAAGAAAACACACTCTCCTCTTTCAAAATGTGGATACATCACAACATATTTTCACACACAGCAGCAGGTGAAGGAAGCATTGATCACTTGTTTTCGGGGGGGAAAGCCACCTTTTGAACATCCATGGCTCTGTTTTGTCTTGAATGACATCTTAGTATTAATGTATGTGAAACACAAGTCCATATTTCACAGTGTAGGTTTATAAGGCACCGATCACAGTTCTTTATGATGACAAACCGTGGAACAACATCACAAAGTGATGTGTCCAGTCACCGTAGAGCAATTCCACAGTAACGGAATTACAAAAAAAAACTTGCTTTCAAATGTATGTTGAAGAAAAACCATTGATTTCAAAGTTTAAAAATCTCCCTCAGTTTTCCAAAAACTCTGTTAAATATCTGTGACATGATACCTTGAGTTTGAAAAAATATATTTTGGTTATTGAACTACAATAAGTGAAGTGGATTTACATCCGGTAATGTAATTATGGTAACAGATTTCTTCATGTGTCCCTGATCTGTAGTACACAGAAATGCATCATGATGGATATGAAAGTAATTCTCTTCATGGTGATGTATCCTGAATAGGTACACAAAGGTAGAAATATGCAATATCCTCCTTTTGTTGTTTGGGTATTATTATACACACTGGCTATTATTCTAATGAGCTCCGCCCCCAAACAAGACAACATTTGGTTGGTCCGGACCAGACCAAATCTGAACCAATCATCGACATCTATGTTTCACAAGTTTGGACATCACAGTACAGCACAGTTCAGTACATTACACTATACTCTAGTGTGTTCTTCTGTACTGAACTCTACTGTACTGAACTATACTCCACTTTTCTTTACTGTATTTTACTCTACTGTACTTTACTGTGCTGTCCAAACTTATGAAACATAGATGTCTATGATTGGTTCAGATTTTGTGTTTTGATGTACAGTATAATACCTTTTAAGACTTTTTCTGGTAGATATTGTCTAAGACCCCTTTTCCATCTGTTTGACCAGAAATCAAAGCTTTTGCTGATTCAACATTTTTAGGATGGAAAATTGTTGAAAATGTATATATGCCTTACTTTCTCAAAAATATCGACTCTTAGCTTTCATTTGACACGCTCCAATGCACTTCGCATGTTGGTGCTCATGGGTCCTTTTACATGGAAATGCCCAGTAAAAATAGCTTCTCTTCAGTGAATTTTAGTGCAATATATTTCATGTCATACACAAATGTATGTTATTATTGCATAACTTTGGTGTTACATGTTTAATGTAGTCATAATCTGAACAATTGCTAATCTTCAAAATAATAAAACAAACATCACTGGTACTAAGTGATGTGTTATTCTACAGAGCCACCAATTCTTAATCAACTTTTATTTAAAGAAAGAAAGATAGCAACTTTTCCTGACTTTTAATCAACACAGAATTTGTGATGGTGTTATAGGATTTTCCCAAGTTTGACAGGAATAACTGCATGTTGTTATTCCTGGAACATTATTGTTTTGCTTCCATTAAGGAACAACACACTTTGGTATTACAATAACGTCCACTCACTCAATAAAAAAATGCTTACAAAACATTTCTTAACACGCTGGGATGGTCCCTGCTAGCTTTGGTTCATCATGTGCTGCCTTGTACGTCGGTAGATCCATTTGGTCATTCTTCAAGGAGGCGAACTTTGAATCGACATCTCTAGTGGAGTATGTCTGTGTCCTCCAGCATCGTTGGATCAGCATGACAGAAGCCAGGAAGAGTGGGCTGAGTATAAGAGAGAATCCACTGAGGAAGAATGCAGCAGTATAGTCGCCAGTCCAGTCCACCAACCAGCCTGGAACCAACAGAAAGCGTTAGGCTGGGAATTTTAAGGGGCAGTTTCATACCGACAACAGAGTCCGGACTATAACGAGAACGATGGAATCATATATTCAGAATCAAGATGTGCACTTTTGAATTTGTGGCAATTGAAAATGGTGTATGTACATGCACTAAGTGTGTTAGTATTCAGTCATCCTCTCCTCATCCTCACCTCCTATTGGTGGGCTAACCAGGTAGGGTATGGCATGTAAGAAGTTGACCACACCCAGGGCTGAGGATAGGTACGATGAGCCCACCAAGTCAGACGTCACCACTGGTATGAGGGCAGTGTAGGCGCCGTCAAAATACCCATAGAGCATGGAGAAAGGCACCAGCAGGGTAAAGGAACGTAGCAGAGGGATCAGGAGGCAGGACAGACCCTCCATACCCACAGCAAACATGAAGCTCACTTTCCGGTACTTCTTCACACACCTACGAGAGGGGAACTCAGACTTAGCTAGCAGTACGTTACAACACTAGAGAATGTGGCCATGCAGTAGGTGACAGGCCCAAGACCATAGTTTTGAAAGCATCATAAAAAATATTTTGACTATGGCTACAGTCTATATGGGTGATGCTATAGAAAAATGGTGTGTGTGGGGGGTGCAAACTATTCTATACATGTGACATACTTCCTGTCAGTGAGCCAGCTGAACGTGATGTTTCCTACGATTCCGGTGACCCCCAGGATGGACATGAGGAAGGCAGCCTGCTGGTGCTCCACATCCACACTGAGGGCATAAGGCACCAGGTAGGCAAAGGGCACACTGCAGCCGTACGCCAGGAACAGGAAGGACACGGACAGCAGCATGAAGTCAGGCATCAGCAGGAAGCTAAACTCCTCCATTGACTGCAGGCAGAAGCACCCTCCCAGCTTAGGCCCTGCCAGAGGACCCATTGGCCCAGGGGCAGCCAGGCCAGCCAGAACCTTGGCATCTACTAACTCCGCTAGTTTTGCATCAGCAACCTTTGTGTCCACAGGCTTAACATCAGCTAGCTGGCTACCGATGACAAGATTCTCCATTAGTTTAATGTCCTTTAGCTTCCCGTTGGCTAGATTTTGATCCGCTAGCTTGATCTCTTCAAGCATTTTCTCTGTTAATGCACTATTCACATTCACAACCATGCCCTCTACTATCGTCATGTCTGCCAGCCTCGAGTCAGCTAGTTGTACATTCGCAAGGAGTGCCTCTGCTAGTTTCATTTCAGTGAGTTTAATTTCTGCAAGTTTATCCGTTTCAATCTTCACATCTGTTACATTCACAACCTCTGTATTGGGGTCCAACGGCTTTAAGCCTGGAAGTGTTGTGTCCATTACCTTCCCCTCTGCTAGCTTGGCATCCACCAGTAGGATGGCATACCCATTCTCAAGCTCTGCTGTCTTGTGCTGCCTCTGTCCTCTCCCTTTAGGCACCAGGGGCCTCATAAGGGCCCCGCAGACACACAGGTTGGACACAAACCCTCCCAGAATAAGCAGGGCCCCCCTCCAGGAGTAGCGTTCAATCAGGAGATGAACAGCAGGGGCCAGGATGAAGGTCCCAATGCCAGTCCCAGACATTGCCATCCCATAGGCCAGTGCTTTCCTCTCGTTGAAATAGGACCCAACCATGGCCACCGCTGGGGTGTAGCTGAGGGCAAATCCCAACCCTACGAGGAGAGAGTTGGGGATGGAGTCATGACAGATACAGTTGCGTTCCGTCACTAAGAGTCAACACAAGTATCCATAATGCAACAGCACCCTCTTGTGCCAAAGTCATAACAACAAATGTGATGATATCTCCAGTGAGAGACGTACCTGTGAGGACCCCCAGGGTGAGGTAGAGGTACTCCAGACTGGTGGCGAAGGAGCTGAGGATCAGGCCTGCAGAGGACAGGACGCCTCCCATGATCACAGTGGCTTGGGTGGACAGACGGTTCCCGATGAAGCTGCCAAGAGGAGCTGGAGAAACAATACATAGGGATCAATAAAGTTATCGTCCTCAGATCAAGAAGAAAATGTGACAGACTTATCGCTTGGATTGGATGTAGCTGGGACACAATCCATTGTAACACACATCAAGCCTGTTATTGACATAAAAGTTCAGAGCAGGCCAGAAGCATATGTTTGACTCAAAGATTAAGGCATACAAGTCTAAGTACACACGGCCAGTACAGTGAAACTGCAAATGGCTCAATAAACAACCGCTTGTAAAAGTCCAACACACTCTGGCACAGATGCTATGTAAGTCCAGGCTAATGATAAATCAGGGCCAAGTTTAATTATTTGATGTAAATCCTTGAATATCAGTAAAAAAAAATGCATCAGGATGTATACGACCCTGTTCAATCTAATAAAGTGGCAAAACAAACAAACTAGCTTTCGATTGGATGCATTGGTGTCCCTAGGGCAAGTCAGACAGCTGACAGAGGATTTTTATAATGAAGAATGTGTTTGTTTTAATTGATTGTGTTTTGTTTGTTTTGTATCTGAATGTGTATATTATGTATATTTATGTTTATCTATAATTGTCTATTGATGTGTTTTTTTTTTGTATTGTGCATGGCTCATTTGCAAAAGAGACTTTAGTCTCAATATGACTAAAAATATTATTATATCTCTTATCATCAACAGCTGTTTCCAAGGGACTGTGGAATCCCCATCAGTGGAGGAAGGGGAGGAGCATCCTCCTCAGTGAATTTCATAAAAATAGTGAAACATTTAAAAAAAGTTATCATTTTTAGATAAAACTGTACTCAATTTATTCACGTCACCAAATAATTGATTAAAACACACTGTTTTGCAATGAAGGTCTACAGTAGCCTCAACAGCCCTCTGTAGAGTAGCACTATGGCGTGGCCGGAGGACAGCTAGCTCCTGTCCTCCTCTGGGTACATTGACTTCAATACAAAACTTAAGAAGCTCATGGTTCTCACCCCCTTCCATAGACTTACACAGTAATTATGACAACTTTTGAAGGACGTCCTCCAACCTATCAGAGCTCTTGCAGTATGAACTGACATGTTGTCCAGCCTATCAAAAGATCAGTGAATGAATCTAGTACTGAATGCATACGCTACATCTAGCTAGCACTGCAGTGCATAAAATGTGGTGAGTAGTTGACTCAGAGAGAAAGACAATAATTTAACAATTTTGAACAAATTAAGAGAGAGAGAGAGAGAGATTTGCACATTGTTACAACACTGTATATATACAAAATATGACATTTGAAATGTCTTTATTCTTTTGGAACTTCTGAGTGTAATGTTTACTGTTAATATTTATTGTTTATTTCACTTTTGTTTACTATCTACTTCACTTGCTTTGGCAATGTTAACATACGTTTCCCATGCCAATAAAGCCCTTACATTGAAATTGAGTGAGAGAGAGATATATATATTTGGTTGTATTTTTTAAAACTTTCACTTTTAGCCTACTCAAACACCCAGCTCAAACAGAGAGGGATGCTATGTTAGCTAACTGGCTAAGGCTATCCAACACTGGAACTCTTCCAAGTCAAGGTAAGCATTTGGTTTTATTAATTTATTACCACCGGGGCCCGCCGGTGTAACTGTTAAACTTTCTGACTGTACACTGTAATGCATTATTTTTACATTTACATTTCAGTCATTTTAGCAGACGCTCTTATTCAGAGCGACTTACAGTAGTGAGTGCATACATTTTCTAACTTTTTTCCCATACTGGTCCCCCGTGGGAACCCTGGCGTTGCAAGCGCCATGCTCTACCAACTGAGCCACACAGGATGAGTGTAGCGGGTTTACTAACGCTTTAGTTCTAGTAGCTATGTTGACTATGATGTGACAACGGTGTAGGCTGTGTGTAGTGGTTAGCGGTCATGATATGAAGGTTTGGCTTGGAAAGTTTTTTTTGCCTGGTCACAGACAGCTGATGTGTTGTCCACTAAAGTCCACAAGCAAAGGGAAAAGGTGAGAGGAGGAGAGCGCGTAGATAGTTGCGAGAAGGAATTATATATACAACAAGCTGTTTTTATGTGGCTGCTATGAAAGTGAACTGTGTTTGCGTGTGATCAGGGGTGTATTCATTCTGCCAATTCTGTTGAAAAATATTTCTTAAACGGAAGCAAACAGAACAAAATGGGGATAAACATACCTGAATTTGTCCAACAGAAACTCACATTTGCAACTGTTGGACTAATTATTACACCCTAGATCAGATAGATGCAGGCAAGAGTGTGCAAGGCAGTGTTGAATGTGTCACTGTCTGTCACCTTGATTACTCTAATTGTTCTCACGACCTGTGCACCTACGTTGTAAACTGTCATTCATAGGCTAGGTTGTAGCAACCTCATGATGGGTATAGGGAAAATTAGAGTATCATATAGTAGCCTATACCTATCGATGTTACATTGAGCTGGGTGAATGGAATATGAATGACAGTCATCCAATATGCTGTAATACAAATAAGGCCATGCTCATAAAAACAATTATTGCCCAGACTGCACTGCATGTGCCCAGACAGCCCTCACACAACTTTTACAACAGCTGAGGGGTACAAAGTTCATGTCAATGTTCCAGATTATGTAATTTCCTTTTGCAAAGTTACATCAGGTGTATCAAGATTGCCATGTCATGATTAGGATAGGCTTGGGTAGACAATTATCTTATCCTAATGCTCCATCTTCTAATCTTACTTATTAAGGGCACATGTTATTTTTGAGTTTATTGGGCATATATGCTGTGTACTAATAATCTGAATTAGTGTGTGGTTTTGTGCATGTGAATCGGTTTGTTTTCCTTTTCACCCTTAAAGCCCAACGCCTTTATATATATGTGTCACAATGTCTTTAAACACCTGGTAAAGTGTCTGTATACGAACAATACATAAAAAGGAACCCACTATCTTTAAGAAGGCTGCGTTCACACAGGCAGCCAAATTCTGTTTTGTTTTTTCACTAATTGGTCTTTTGACCAATCAGATCATCTCAAACAATATCTGATGTGAAAAGATCTGATGTGATTGGTCAAAATATGAATTAGTGGAAAAAATATCAGAATTGGGCTGGCTGTCTAAACGCAGCCGAAGAGATCCTAATAAACACTTTTGGCACCACCTGGTGGCCAATCTTTGTAATTACACCATCAACAATTACACCTGAAAATGGCTGATCTCATTGTCCTGTAAAAACGGAAATCTGCTACTCCCAAAGTCTAGTACGTTGTCAAAAATGTGCGTGTCTGAGATTCAATGCATGCAAAATGCTCATAATATGTCCAGAGATGCCCGAGTACATTTTCAAAGAAAGATATTCCTTTTTGGAGAAGTATAATCACTTGAAATGTTCATGTGACATATAAGAGACTCCGGTGATACAAACCACACATTTTATGCGTTGTCTATTACGTCGGGGGAAAAACAGATTTTTTTCTCTCTCCAGAAATGTGATTTTTGGGGTCTCCTTGGGCAGTCCTAATCACTGCATAATGTTCATGCAAGGAGAACTGGATCCGGGTTTCTGTGTTCACACGTCTCCTGAGTGGCGCAGTGGTCTAAGGCACTGCATCGCAGTGCTAACTGTGCCACTAGAGATCCTGGTTCGAATCCAGGCTCTGTCGTAGCCGGCCGTGACCGGGAGACTCATGGGCGGCGCACAATTGGCCCAGCGTCGTCCAGGGTAGGGGAGGGAATGGCCGGCAGGGATGTAGCTCAGTTGATAGAGCATGGCGTTTGCAACGCCAGGGTTGTGGGTTCGATTCCCACGGGGGGCCAGTATAAAAAATGTTTATTCACTAACTGTAAGTCGCTCTGGATAAGAGCGTCTACTAAATGACTAAAAATGTAAAATGTATCAAGATTTGCCATTTCATGATAAGGAAAGGCGTATATTTGGGTAGACACATTTCTTATCATAATGCGTCACCTCCCAATCACAACTATTAGGGGCATATATTCCTTTTGAATGTATTGTGCGTATAAAGTGCACTAGTAGTTCACTTAATCTGTGCTTTTATGCTTGTGAATCTGTTTGTGAGGTAGAATTTCCTCAGGCCCCAGAGATAATTAGAAATCATAAATAACTTGAGAATTAATTAAACCCAGACAATACATATATAAATACTGTTTCATTGAATAAACAGGGACACTCAAGGTGTTCAAATTGCTGATAAGGAAATCCCCTAGTCATGGCTGACTCTCTCACCAAAGAGGAAGGTGGTGCAGTCGACTAGCGAGTGGATCCAGGCCGTGCCAGAGTAGTCCTGATCAAAGTGCATCTGGAACTCCACAAAGAAGATTGACACACATCTAAAAATAAAAGGAGAAAGAACAGTGTGAGTTTCAACATTGCACTGACAAACTGTTCTTCAGGATATATGCAGGTATAGGACTGGACTGGTTTATTTGACATGCACATAGTACACTGCTCAAAAAAATTAAGGGAACACTAAAATATCACATCCTAGAAAGCACCGCCAGCATTCAAAAGTCACCAAAACATCAGCCAGGAAGCATAGGAACTGAGAAGTGGTCTGTGGTCACCACCTGCAAAACCAGTCCTTTATTGGGGGTGTCTTGCTAATTGCCTATAATTTCCACCTGTTGTCTATTCCATTTGCACAACAGCAAGTGAAATGTATTGTCAATCAGTGTTGCTTCCTAAGTGGACAGTTTGATTTCACAGAAGTGTGATTGACTTGAAGTTACATTGTGTTGTTTAAGTGTTCCCTTTATTTTTTTGAGCAGTGTATATACACTGAGTGTACAAAACATTAGGAACACCTTCCTAATATTGAGTCCCTTTTGCCCTCAGAACAGCCTCAATTCGTCAGGGCATGGACTCTACAAGGTGTTGAAAGCGTTCCACAGGGATGCTGGCCCATGTTCACTCCAATGCTTCCCACAGTTGTGTCAAGTTGGCTGGTAGACCATTCTTGATACACATGGGAAAATGTTGAGCGTGAAAATCCATCAGTGTTGCAGTTCTTAACTCACTCAAACTGGTGCGCCTGGCACCTAATACCATACCCCGTTCAAAGGTACTTAAATGTTTTGTCTTGCCCATTCACCCTCTGAATGGCACACATACACAATCCATGTCTCATTTGTCGCAAGGCTTAAGAAGTATTCTTTAACCTATCTCCTCCCCTTCATCTACACTGATTGAAGTGGATTTAACAAGTGACATCAATAAGGGATCATAGCTTTCACCTGGATTTACCTGATCAGTCTGTCATAGAAATAGCAGGTGTTATTAATGTTTTGTCTCCTCAGTGTGTGCCACAATAATGAGCTTTGTTGATACCATTTTGAAATTAAGACCAGTGACTGAATTTAAGAGCACTGACATTAATCCCTAAAGAAAAACTAGATTAAATCAAAACACTGAATACAAGATGAGTTGAGGAATAGAGTTGAGGAATAGAGTTGAGGAATAGAGTTGAGGAATAGAGTTGAGGAATAGCTCTTGGCATTGGTTGAGTTTGCAACTAATGCCAACAGAGCTCTGGTTACAGTAGCTCCATTCTTTAACACTGTACCCAATAATGAATAACCTAAGCTGACCGTATAGTTTGTTCATGCTGAGCGTTTAAAAATTATGTAACTTTAGGATTTTATAAGGGTTTTTTACACTGTGAAGGCTTATGGCATGTGACCAAAGCACATGTGGAGAGTGGAATTTTAATTCTCTCTCTTAAGCTACCTAGAGAAGAAGGAACAGTCGGAGGAGCGCAGCAATCACCAACCTACTAAGTACCAGGTTAATCAAACTTAAACAAGAGCATCTTACCAGCCAGTCAGATTTTTTTTTTAAAGTGTGTGACACGAAATACATACATAAAGTCCTTATAACTTCTTCATAACACTTACATGAAAAGTGGCATTTGTATGCATAAACAATATTTTCTGTCACTAGGGACTCAACAATACCGGAACACACAATAGGCACCAAACCTGCTTTGACTATGTGTCTGGATGTCTGATTTAAAAGCATGCCTTTTTAACCTGAGCTGACAAAAGTCTAAACTAATCCAGTGAGTCGCTCATCACAACCTGGCTGGTTCCCAAAACACTAATTGAAAGCAGATAGTTAGATCACACTGATCATACATAAACATGATGCCACCTGACATGCATGGAATCGATAAGGGGATAACAACAACATTAACATGATATCGATTTAATTTCTGTTTATATTGCATAACAACGACAACCTCCCGCTGTAATATCCCAAAGCTATCTTCACACAAAATAATCCTCACCATGGGAGCCTAGCAGCTGTCAGGACAAAACAAATACCTTGCAAATACCCCGCAAAGAGACAGCAAGGGCAAAACACATACCTTGCAAATACCCCGCAAAGAGACAGCAAGGGCAAAACACATACCTTGCAAATACCCCGCAAAGAGACAGCAAGGGCAAAACACATACCTTGCAAATACCCCGCAAAGAGACAGCAAGTGCAAAACACATACCTTGCAAATACCCCACAAAGAGACAGCAAGTGCAAAACACATACCTTGCAAATACCCCGCAAAGAGACAGCAAGGGCAAAACACATCCAGAAGCTCTACCATGTCACAAACATGTCAAATGAGGAGTTATGAAAGGTTCAGTTCAATCTTCCCCAACTTCCACCTGGTTACTCAACCCTGCACCTTAGAGGTTGCTGCCCTATGTACTGTACATAGACATGGAATCACTGGTCACTTTAATAATGGAACACAAATAACGTTTGCATGCTGTTTTACTCATTTCATATGTATATACTATATTCTACTGTATTCTAGTCAATGCCACTCCGACATTGCTTATCCTAATATTTACATATTTCTTAATTCCATTCTTTTACTTTTAGATTTGTATGTATTGTTGTGAATTGTTAGATACTACAGCACTGTTGGAGCTAGGAACACAAGCATTTCGCTACACCCGCAATAACATCTGCTAAATATGTGTATGTGACCAATAAAATGTGATTTGATTTGAGGACCATCGTCCCTCTGGAGCTGTGTGTGTGTGTCAGAGGCTCACCTGGTGACAGCACGGGTGCAGATGGTGACTAGGAAGCAGCCGGCCACAACCATCCATCCCCAGCCTCCATCAGGAGGGGCTACCGGTGCCCCTCTGGGATTCTTTCCCACTGGTGTCATTCCTTCTGTGCCACCGCCGTGCTGCTGCTGTCCTTCTCCTCTGGTCCTGGGGCTGGCTCCTGTGCTGTTCTGTGTTACGGTAAAATGCGTCCTCCAGGAAGATCACCAAACCCAGCCACACTCCGCACAACTCCAGGGCTTGTCTCTGTTGGCTCCTTCTATTATTCAAGCGTGGGAGCGGCTGTTAATTGTAAAAACACAAGAGAACATTTACAATATTTTACAACTGTCTGATATCACATCCTAGTAGTTACTTACTATTACAATACAGTTGGTGTTTCTATGATTGATATAACCATTTTTATTATAGGAATGATATAACCCATTTCGACCACAAACATGAACTGTATCACATACAGTCTCAAAACAAGGCCAAGGCATTTGGAATGCATCACTTTAAGGTCTCTAATTCAATTGACCATAAACATATTGATATTCTAGCTGCAGCTTCAATCAGCATCCTTAGCAGACAGACAAACAAAAACTGTCCAAACAAAAGGCTACCCCAGTGGACCACTAGAGATCACAGTAGGGTGAAGAAAAGACGTGTTGTTGACGCGGAACCTTGCACGGAGACGCAGCGTACAAAATCAAACAAAGGCCAGGATTCTCCTTTCTCCAGTGCTGCACTCTGGTGTGACACTGAGAGAGGGCCTAGCATATGCTCCAACACATTGTAGCTGAAAACAACACAACTCCCCGTTATTTGAAGAAGAAGAAAAAAAACGTGTCTATGTCACGTTTCCCTCCTCCCTAGCCATTGCATGCTGTTCAGACTACGAGGGTGGGTCAAACATGGTGACACTAGACCAGCCACTCTGGCTCTGCCGCCCAGGAATATCCCAAACAACACCCATATGTGGTGAGCATTGCATGGTCTCAGCTGCCTATGAAACAAGGACATGTTGACATTCACATTGATAAGGATGGTGAGATGTAGGAGTCATATAAGCTACAAATGGGGACCAAACTAATCAGGTCAAGGTCAAGACCATCCTGGGGATGTGGTCAAATAGCTGGCTAGATAACTGCAGGAGGATCATGTTGAATGTCTCATTATGACCACCTGAGTGGTCAATCTGTTAATCCTTCTGTGCTCTTTAAATTCCAATTCCTACATTTGCATAGCATTTACATCCTTAAAGCTGTTGACCTTAAGGGAACAACAGACAGTGTGTGTGTGTGTGAGAGAGCGAGAGAGAGAGAGGGGGAAATCTATTGTGTGTGTGTGTGTGTGTGTGTGTGTGTGTGTGTGTACTTGTTTTCCTACATTATCAGGACCCCAATGTCCTAACACTTCACCTGAATTTCCTGAAAAGGTAGGAAAACAATAACTTTTTTCAAGTCCTGAATTTGTTCAAATGCTATTTTAAGCTGAAGGTTTTGGGGGGTTAACATTTTACATTTTAGTAATTTAGCAGACGCTCTTATTCAGAGTGACTTACAGGAGCAATTATAGTTAAGTGCCTTGCTTAAGGGCACATCAACAGATTTTTCACCTAGGGGATTAGAACCAGCGACCTTTCTGTTACTGGCACAACGCTCTTACCCACTAAGCTACCTGCCGCCCAGGTTACTGTTAGGGAAAATATAATTTTTAATGGGCAAACATTTTTACACTCCATAAAGTCCTGAAATGTCAGGAAAACAAAGCTGTGTGTGCGTGTGTGTGTGTGCATACGTGTGCACGTGAAAAAAAAACATGAAGAAACTACTACCCTGGCCTCTTGTGCACTAATGTGTCTTATCTTACTAGCGACTGACTGCTGATAGCTAATTTATTGAGTACGTTTTACTTACGGGCAATTCCATAGTAACAGAATGACGCAGAGACTCCAGTTATTCACTTTAAAAATGCCAAACAAAAACCATTGATTTCATAGTTAAACAAACCATACAACTCTATGCACAATTACTATTTCTAACAATTTCCACTGAAAATTTTACAAAAACAAATTAACTTGAAGAACAGTGCAGAGGTTAAGTTCGGTAACAGAATGACGATAAAATCTCCCTCGGTTTTTTATGTGACCACGTTTTCCAAAAACTCTGAATTAAGATTCAAAGACGTTTGCTGAGAGAATGGGGTGTCAGCTATGATATGACACCTTGAATTAGAAAAAATATATTTTGGTTATTGAACTACAGTAAGTGAAGTGGATAATTATTCTACACACTGTCTATTTTTCTAATGAGCTCCGCCCCCAAACAAGGCCAAATTTGGTTGGTCCGGACCAGACCAAATCTGTACTAATCTTAGACGTCTATGTTTCACAAGTTTGGGCATCCCAGTACAGCACAGCAGAGTATAGTAGAGTTCAGTACAATACAGTATAGTAGAGTTCAGTACAGTACAGTGAAGCACAGTTGAGTACAGTCCTGTACTGTACAGAAGAGTAGAATAAAGTAGAGTACTGTACAGTAGAGTATAGTTCAGTACAGAAAAATACAGTACATTATACTGTACTCTACTCTGCTTTTCTTTACTGTACTGTGCTCTACTGTACTGTCCAAACGTGTGAAACAGCCATCTATGACAGATGTCAAATTTCAACTACTTTTCAACGTCCACGGACGTCAGGTCGGTGCTCAGTGGATGAGAGGGCTGGTTACAGTAAATGGAAAGAGAGGGGGCTTATGGGTAGGTGTCAGTAAGAGCCGGGAGAGGTGACATTAACTAGAGAGAGAAGAGAGACAGGGAGAGAGAGAGGGAGGGGTTGTCCAGACTGTTTTCACACTCTTGCTTTGACCACCAGGTGACAGAAAAAGAAAGAAAACAGTTATGAGCTGAACTCAACGTATCATTATACCAGTGGAAAGGAGGACAGTAGCAGGTGACCCAACTGTGGTTTGTGACTACTATGAATTTCCATTGTAGCCAATTCAGTTGCAGTAATTCTGTTACTGATTTTTTGGGTTATTCTGTTACCAATTTAAATATAAATGTTGATATTAGTTGGCAGGGGTCTTTACTTCAACATTATTGTGTTTTGATGTATTTCTAATACCTTTTCAGGTTTTTTCTGTAAGATGTAAAAGCCTTTGCTTATTCAAATGTTTTAGGATGGAAAATGGTTGAACAATTTAGATATGCTTTAATTTCTAAAAAAATATAGACACTTTGTTTAATTTGACACCAAATGTGATGTGCTCCTATGAACTTCACATGTAAGTGCATGGGGCTTTTTACATAGAAATGTCCTTACTATGACTTTTATATGTGGTTGTCTTGCCTAGCTACCTTAAGATGAATGCACTCTGGATAAGAGTGTCTGCTAAATGACTCAAATGTAATGTACATTTAGATAGAGAAAGAGAGAGTGAGAGTAAACAGTGGACTACTGCCATCCAAGGGGGCCCCTTTGTTTGCTGGTGGTTTCTCCATGTGACTCAGTAGTCACCATGCAGTTTGCTGGCACCACACTGCCACTTTTCAAGCCTCTCAACCTATGGGGGATGGCTTCCTGACTGACCAGATCAAACCAGTTTAACTGTTTTTGGTAGCACATTTCTCTCCACTGACACTAATAACAATCCCACCCCCATGGATTCAGGCATGCCCGGAACATGGAGGTGGATGGAGGAAAGGGACTATTGTTTTTTGGGCAGTTATACTATTTATATAATATTTGTCAATTAGTAATATGCATATTCTGTAGATGCAAGTAATGTTGCTCATCTCAGAGACAAGCAAATCACAAGACCTACTGTAAATAGCTTTTCTTAGTATAATTGTTTTTCTTAAGGTCTTTGGGCTCCATCAGAGGGCTCCATCAGATAATAGTTCAGCACCATCCCTCTGGAATCCCTTCTCACCTAAGGCTATGTGACTCACACTCGACATCCAGACACATCATAAACTACTACAACAAAGGAGGCTGGATTTCCTACTTATAAAAAGCAGCCAATTTAAGTATTGAATACATGTTCTAAAATATTTATTGGAAATGTTATTACTTATCTTAGACAATTGAGCAAAAAACAGAACATATTGACATCTAAGAAACACTTCAAACAAACACAACGTCGACTTGGTTTGCAGTCCCAAAATATTGTATATTTATTGAATATTGACAGAGTCCATAACAATCATCAGCGCAGCATTAAAATAACCATTTACCTTTTCATATTATATAAGAATGATAAGGAATAGACTACAACACATCAAAAGCTGGCTTTTATATGCGAAGTATTTCTGCAAGTCACAATGTAGCCTATACTGTGCAACTATGACCTAACAAAATTAGACAGCTTAACAATACTTACATCAACACCCACGATTAACGGTATCGTCGCCTGCCTCTTCCGCGCATTACGCTGAATACACTCACAAGTGAGGTATCCTATTAATTTCCACGTTTTTATAGTGCCTTTTGTGCCCGGCAGTCCCCATCATTCTGCGACTTATAGTTGAAGGAACTCCGGAAAACCAAGTGATTTGCATACACAGCATCAAGGGGGGAGTGGCCGATCCCTCCTCCTGACAACTAGCAAGCAAGCGCCCCACCCACCCTGGAATTAAACTATTATGCATATAAACTGTGTACACCCTCCTCCACTTCTGCTCCCAGTAACACTCACATGTGAAACTCTCCTTTTCTTCTGTGTGGACTAAGGGGAATTATCCCTCAAAAGGACAGGCATAGGTGTCTCACTTTCACTGAAGATTCACCATTGATCTGTGTCCGGGAAACAACCCCATAGCCTACAAATTTCAGCCTGTTGTATCAATGATGAATATGTATCATCGTTGTACCACGCAAAAGTGGCCTAGATGAGAAGTATTTCTGTCTGTAATAAAGCCATTTTGTGAGAAAAAACTAACTAAAAACTAATTCTGATTGGCTGGGCCTGGCTGCACTCCTGCCCAGTCAAGTGAAATCTATAGATTAGGGCCTAATTAATTTATTTAAATTGGCTGATTTCCTTATATGAACT